CGGCCTCCACTGCCTCGGCAGGCTAGACGACGTCTTCCCGACGCACATCTGAAGCCACGGTCGAACGACAAGCGTTCATCACCCACCGCGCGGTGACCTACTCTGTCTCACCTGACCCCTTGGGTTCGTACTCCGTCTCTCCTGACCCCTTGGGTTCGTGGCCCTGGCTGACGGGACGCGGCCTACCCGACAAAACATCGTCTGGCTAACGAAATGTGGCCTGGGCAGGGCCCATCACTACCGCAACCTAGGCATGGGAAACAAGGCGCAACCACACGCAAAATGACCCTCCGCCATCCCAGGCAGGGTTTAGAGGGGCCCACCGATGGAATCTCCATCGAAGAGAGGCCAACTGGTCACCCGAGTCGATCGGACGGCTCAGGCGACAGCCGAGAGACAGGTAAGGAGCAGTGGGATGCCCCATGCGGGTTATGCCGACTCTGTCATGAATTATAGACCCGAATTCCACTCGGACATATCCGATACGAGCTCCCCGAACCCGTCACTCGAGCCATCGAGGTAACTTTACCAACCCCCGTTCTACTTTTCCTGTGCATGATCAGTCATTCATCCATTCTCATACATGCATTCATACATTCATTCATATATTCATCCCATACATCCAAGCATTGCATATGCAATTGTTGCATCACAACGCTTCGCGTCGCGTCATGAAGCGGTAGTTGTCTCATTCGATATGAGCGGTGACCGACCGGGGTTCAAAGGCCAGCCCACGAAGGGCTCGAGGCCGCCTCACGTCAAAATAGGGCCAGGGAAGAAAACACAGATGAGCCCCAGCGGCCTTCGCCCGATCCACTCATAAGCGGACAGGGTCATCTCGACCTTCTTGTTCGATCCTAACCTCGAGCCATGCCCACAGAATCTCCATCGAGGGGAGTCCAGTGGGCCACCTAAGTCGGTCTCCGGAATGGCTTGGACATCTACTGGGAGGCGGGTTAAGGAGCAGTGGAATGCCACATGACGACTATGCCAACCTCGTTACGAATGATGGACCCAGATTTCACTCGGACATGCCCGTTAGTAAGCTCACCGAGCGCGTCACTCCAGCCATCGAGGCAAGCGATGTTAACTCAACCCCTCTGGTTGTGGAAACCATGGATGGAATGATGCATGAAACTCGACCGAGCCCTACCAAGCCCAACGGGGCTTGGGTCACCCGACCCCGATTCAGAAATCCAGCCGATCGCATAGGTTGCTGTCGGAACGGATATGGGCCAACACCCCGACCAGAAGAGACGCAAGAGTCCATAGCCCCAAAAAAGAGTACCAAGGTGCTCAGCCTCTAACCGACTCATGCACACCTAGTAGAAAATGGATTACCAGCGAGTCTCCTCTTCAGGGGCTAGGCGCCTATGTCTACATAGTGCGCCTCCACGGCCTTCGCCAATCCCCTCCTTAGGGGCTGGGTGGCAATATCCCTCAGGCGCGCCTCCATGTCCTTTGTCGTTCCTCCACATGGAGACTGGGTGCCTAAAACCTACACGGTTACCCTACGTGGTACAACAAACCAAAGGGGAAAACGCTGAGGCTCCAACTCAATAGCCCCTTCACGGCTTCACAGAAGCCCCAAAGGGGCTCGGGGGCTCCTGTCGAGTTCATAAACCCAGGGTCCCCAATGGACCCACTTCCCTGCAAAACTCGGCCTAGCAGGCGGCACAGCAACAGCGAGCGCCTGGGCTGGCCCAGATACACAAATAACAGGCCAAGACCACGATCCGGTATGGTTCCCCGTCAAACAAGACGGAACCCACATCCTTGGGGTCAGGCAAGACAGAGCCCGCACCCAAGGGATCGGGCGAGGCGGAGCACACACCCAGGGATCGGGCGAGGCGGAGCCCGCACCCAAGGGATCAGGCGAGACGGAGCCCGCACCCAAGGGGTCAGGGGAGACGGAGCCCGCACTGCAAGGGGCCGGGCGAGATGGAAGGCCTGGCCATGGTGGGACCACGGTCCAACTTCTACCCCCTTTTCTCTAACCGAGGATACACCGGACCTCTGCTCACTGCTCTTTCCCGGCCAACACGGTTAGGGGCCGACTTGGAGTGACCAACCAGGGACGCCCGCTTAGTGTGGGCCCAGGGAGCAGGCGAAGCAGATAAGATAAGGCGCTCAAGTCAACCGCAATACCTAGGACCATACCTTACCATGCCCTGCGCACCTATAGGATGGTGCCGTCAGGGCATGATAGGCGAACACGGTAGAGCCTGCCAGACGCGCTAGAGCATAAACAGTGTTGTGGGCGCCATCGTTTGCCATACCAGGTGAACACGGTAGAGCCTACCAGACGTGTCTAGGCATAAACAGTATTGTGGGCGCTGGCAGCCATCCCATACCCAAAGGCATGAGCAACAAGACTAGGCAGCACACGTATACACACTCTCTCTCTCTCTCTGACTTGTAAGGCCGTCCTTATCAACTATAAAAGGGGATGCACTCTCTCCTGCAAAATAGGTCTCTCTCTCTCAGACTTTCTCGACGACTCGAGAACACAACAGCTCAACAGCATTCTTAGAATTGACATGCTAGAGTAGGATTATAACTTAGGGTGCCAAACTTTTGTGCGGTAGAACAATAGAAACACTTTTAGGCACAAGGGGTGAAATAGGCTAAGTGTAGGGCTTAATTATTGGAAGAAATTTAGAATTAGCATAATTCAACCCCCCCTCTTGGGCATCTTGATCCTTTAAGCTGTCATTGTGTCTACCTCCATAAATGAATTGAAAAAACAAAAAAGGGGGTTGTTGAGCCCCGATGGCCACCAGCCCACACCGCCGCCGCCGTCTTCCATGCCATGGAGCCCACTGCCGATGTAGCACGAGCAAGTGCGGTGTATGTGCTCCGCTCCGCCGATGAGCCTCCTCCACGTGCCTCCTCCTCCTCACCGACACCGCCACTACTCGTCAGATCTGCCACGAGCTGGCCTGCGCTCCTCCTCGCTGAATCCATTGCGAACGAGCCCTGGCCGCCGTCGTGAGCGAGCCTACATTGTAGCTGAGAGATGGCCTCGCTAGAGGGCGCCTCACGCTCCACGTCGCCGAATCCACGAGATCCGTGTCTTTTCATTGGGGATATGCGAGATCTGCGTTGTCCTCGCATGGATCTACGAGATCCGCACCGCTGGGCACACCTCATCGGGATCCTCTTCCTCCTTGCCTTGCCGCCGCTGTTGAAAGAAGGATGAGGGCGGCACTGCCATCACCTGAAGGAGGACGAGGGCGCTGGTATCCTCTTCCTCTATGCCATCGCCAGTGAGGGAGATAGAGAGGGGCAAGCTAAAGAGGAAGAGCATGGGTGGTGAGGGAGACGGGCGAGTGAGAGAGGAAGGCGCACGGTGAGGGAGACGCACAGTGGATAGACGAGCGTGTGCAGTGGGAGACAGAGATAGATATCACTGGTAGAGAACAGAGCTTTACTCCCGGTGGAGAACCCTCTCTAGTCCCGGTTCCCCACCCGGGAGCAAGCATCCGGGACTAAAGGGGGGTCCTTTAGTCCCGGGTCAGGAACCGGGACTAAAGGTCCCCCTTTAGTCCCGGTGGGTAACACCAACCGGGACTAAAGGTCCTCCCAGCTTTAAAAAAAATAATGCCTTCCACCGCTGCGTCCCGTGAGATTCGAACCCAAGACCCCATGCATTGCCTCGCGCATAGCTTACCACCCCACCTACACAACACATCTAACAATGGATGGGATGCTTCTCTTTTGAACTAACCCATCAGGGGACCTTTAGTCCCGGTTGGTGTTACCAATAGGGACTAAAGGTTGAGGACTTTTAGTCCCGGTTGGTGGCTTCAACCGGGAGTAAAGGTCCACCTTTAGTCCCGGTTGGTGTCTCCAACCGAGACTAAAGGTCCTCTGCCACTGTGCCGAGCGCAGTAGCCGTTGGACAGGGACCTTTAGTCCCGATTGGAGACACCAACCGGGACTAAAGGTCTCTCTAGTCCCGGGCGCAAAAAATACCGGGACTAGAGTCCATTTTAGCATCGGATGAAAGGTCCGTTCTCTACCGGTGTATATTGGGCTAGGGTTTCCTCTCTATCGTTATATAGTTCGAGGGTCCATATCAGCCTAAGATGGGCCACGAAGCTGGTAATGGGCCTGTGAAAATGGGTTTCATTTTCTGTAAATTGATTTTGAGAGACGAACAATTTTTGACTGTATTCATAAATCCATTTTGAGAGATTCGTATTTTTTTACTGCATCCGTATATAACTCAACCGCCTCCGGTGGAGATGTAAAATAATGACCATGGATATCCTATTAATTAGGGATTATTTTAGGGCTAAGGAGGCAAATAATTGGATGTGATGGGCTGACTTTATTACATATATAAAGTGCTAGAATGACCTGTTGTGAGAATGTCTACCCAAAAAATGCGTAAAGAATTGTATCATCATTCAGTAGTCCTTCAGATTATACTCGTAGCGAGCATGTGGAATCTGCACCGCAGGAACAACAAGAGGCGAGAGCAGCTATTATATTACACACGGTAAGGTGACACAATTACGCGTGAACAGATGGTGCGCCCCTTTCACATTTTACACGACCACCTTAAAAACCTTTAAAGAAAAGATTAAACTAGCACGATCATTAGCACGCACTGACCAAGTGATGCTTTTCGCTTTTGTCCATACTCGGTGATGATCATAGGCTCCATTAAGCCAACTAATCAATCCTGCCGTGTCCCCGAATCTGCCATCACACTCCATTGCTCTCGATCGTCAAAGAGGCACCAACCTTCCTGCCATCTTCTTCCACCTCCTGCTCCCCTATAAATGCAGCCACTTGACTCGACGAGCACACACCCAACGCAATTGAGCTCAGTCACAGGTAGAGGCTGGTGCTACAATCATAGCAGGGTTAGATTGTGACAGGTAGTCTTAGCTATCTAAGGTACAACCAGTGCCACGGCAAATATCATCAATTAAGAGAGAGAGAGAGAGAGAGAGAGAGAGAGAGAGAAAGAGAGGAGCTTACTAATCATGAGTGATCTGAAGTACTCATCCTACACGAGGCTGGGCCTGCGGCGGTGGCGACGGCCGGCGAGGGGGTTCCGGCTGAGCCCGACGCGCATCTCCGTGCGCCGGCTGCGTGCCAAGCTGTGGAAGCTGCTGGGGCTCCTGGGTCACTGCGTGCGCAACCTGCGGCTACTCACGAGGGGCCGGGTGGCAGCAGCAGCGGCAGGTAGCAGCTCGCCCCCTGCCTCTGCCACCGGCAGCAGGAGGTTTCTTGTGGGCGGTCAGAAACGCGCCCTCGCCGGAGGGAAGGGCGGACAGGCCGCCGGGGACGGAGGCAGCAGCAGCAAGCCACAGCGGCGGCCGCCGTGCATGCGGTCCAACTCGTTCTACGCCCGCGCCGTCGCCGAGTGCCTCGAGTTCATTAAGGGCAGCAACGCCCCGCCTGCGTCACCATCGCCGCTGGCGGCCCACGGCACGCCGCGCCGCGGCAGCAGGTGCTCACAAGGCGACGAAGACGAAGACGACGACGTGAGTTTACCACGCGAGTCGATGGTGCAGATGAATCAATCAGCTTGTACTTGTAGATAGCAGGATACGCTAGCACGCATGCACGCATCGTCGTGTTTCATGATGTGTTGTTTTGTGTACGTTCTTCGTTGGAATCCTAGCGTGTTCTTGTTAGTTTTGCTTCTGGGAAGAGTTCATATGTACGTACGTATTAGTTAGATTGTTTAGTGACAACAGATGTCAAAAATGATGATGAAAGTTGAGAATGGAGATGGTTGCCGAATGATGCAACATGTGAGTGCCACATAGTTTGTCAAGGAGGCAGCATAATTTGTCTTGATTGATCATGATAGTTTTCGGTGTGAGAATATTTCAGTCTGTGCCAGACTGCATTCCAGGGCATTACCGGGCCCTGGAGTGGTAGTTCGCACCCAACAATTCAGGAAAAATAATAACAGTGTATATCTGTCTTGCTAATATTCTGATCCCTAATGCTATAGGCATATCTGAGCTTGTCCACGCAAGTTATAAGTGGATGGAGTTGCAAAGACTATTGTTATCTGATCCCTAATGCTACAAGAATATCTGAGCTTGTTGCCACCGTTTGAAGTGCTTGTTGTTGGCTTGTTAATTTCGATCATTAACAAGATTTATTTTTTCTCGAACGCGCAGGAGAGCTGTGTATCATTTCATTAATAGATAAAAAAATGTTCGATTACAAGCTGATTTCACGGCTGGGGTTAGTATTAACAAGATTTATTTAAATAGGAACACAATAAACAATAAGTGAAGGGTAAAAAGGCCATTAAATTTGAGTGACTTCCTTTATCATTGTGTGCAAGTCTAAATAAATGACCTACATTTGGATTTTGGGGGAGCATGTATTGTTGTTAATTTGGCCCTGGAGATTATCTCTAGCGTTTCTCAGCCTCAGCTATGTTCGGTCAATTGACGAAGACTCTGCCTCAGGCATTGTTGGCCCACAGTTAGCCTCCCGACCACCGAGATGATCTCCAGGCCACTCCGTTGGTCTCACAGGATCACCGACTCACGACAGTGAACCACTCCAGCCGATCTTGCCGACCACCGGCTCAGGCGAGTGGAGCACTTGTCGGTCTCGCCGAGCACGCGCTAGTGTTGCCGAGCACCCACTAGCCGTGCAGACCACGTACCGGCGTTGTCCGTACCCACACACTACGGATCGAGCTAGAAGAGAAAGGGAGAACAGAGCAAGCACGCACAATACAAGGCAACAGCGTTGGCCGAAGCCCTGTCTGTGTGATGGCAAATATGAGCTCTCTTTACTAAGTTGCCATACATGTCTATTTATACAACTCTAACTATCTAGTCCATGTGCAGCGCCCATGCATGGCGCACAAGAACTAGATAACTTTGACAGGCTGACTCTGCTACCGCCAACGCTGTTCCTCTACAAAGGTTGTAGGTGAGCCGTCTTGGCGCCTTGCACCTACTGACTGCCATCAGATCACAAATAGAGGGGCAAAGTCGGCGCCGCCTTTCCTTTGTTGTGTTCACACACGCCAGCAACTAAGTCGGCGCCGCCTTCCTCTGCTGTGTGTTCACACAAGGTGGCGATGAGATTAGCTAACAATCTTCCCCTAATCCTCATCGCTAACCCTTGTAACCCCTCCATGCCGATCATCTCCTTCACTCCATGAGTCGAAGTCTTCCGAAGCGGCTTGGTGAGGACGTCCGCGAGTTGCCGACCAGGGCCGACAAACTCGATGACGATCGCCCTCCATCAACACAGATCCCCGAGGAAGTGGAACTTCACATCGATGTGTTTACTCGGTCGTGCAGAACCGGATTCTTCGCGAGGGCGATGGCGGGCTGGTTGTCCACCATCGGTCTTTGGTGGGTGAGCTTCACGCCGATTAGCTCACCAAAGAGCCCGGCGAGCCACACAACTTGGCACGCCGTTGTGGCGCCGCTCACGCACTCGCCTCGCACGTAGATAGCGCTACCACCTTACGCTTTCAAATGATGACCATGAAATTGGGGCTGACCCGAGGAAGACGAGTATGCCAGAGGTGCTCCGTCGTCCATCGATGTCCCCCGCCATGTCTGCATCGCTGAACACCGTGAGATGCAGCCTACTTCCCCCAGTCTTTGGGAAGATGATTCCATGATTCACCGTCCCCTTGACATAGCGTAGTAGCTGCTTTACCGCAGCCCAGTGATCCTCTCTGGGATCCTCCATGAAGCGACTGACGTAGCCCACGGCGAACGCAATGTCTGGCCTTGTGTGGACTAGGTAGCGCAGACCGCCAACAATGTTTCGGTAGAGTGTTGCATCTACTTTTGCCGCGGTGCTATCCTTCGTCAGCTTCAGCCGCTCCTCCATCGGAGTTACGCATGGCTTGCACTCCACCATGCCGCTCCTCTCCAACAGCTTGGAGGCATACGCGCTTTGCCCGAGCGTGAGTTCCTCCTTCCCCTGTCTCACCTCGATGCCGAGGTAGTAGGAGAGAGCGCCGAGATCGCTCATTCGAAACGAGCTGCCATCTCTCGCTTGAAGTTGTTGATATTCTCCGCGCTGCGCGGTGATGATTAAGTCATCCACATACACGCCGACCATGAGTTCTTCCTTCCCCGTCGTCGCAGTGTAGAGCGCGTGCTCGGTCGTTGCGCACCTCTGAAACCCAAGCTCGCCCACGTGGTGTCAAGCTTGGCGTTCCATGCTCGAGGGGCTTGCCTCTCACCAGAGAGCGCTTTTATGCAATCGGAGCACCTGTGCTCCTCTCCCTTGACAACGAACCACGGAGGTTGCTCGACGAAGATCCTGCTTCGCGCCACTCACCGTTGAGGAAGGACGATTTAACATCCATGTGATGGACGCGCCGGTCCCTTTTTCGCCGCCAAAGCAAGTAGCAAACGGACCGACTCCGCGCGCGCTTCTTGGTGCAAAGACCTCCTCGAAGTCGATGCCCTCGCTACCGACAAAGCCTCGGCGACGAGGCGCGCTTTGTACTTGACAATGGCGCCGAGCTCGTCCCCTTTGACTTTGTACACCCACTTCAGGCTGATCGGACGGCATCCCGGGGTGGATCGACGAGCTGCCAAGTCTCGTTTTCCTCGATCGCCTTCATCTCCTCCAGCATTGCCCGTCGCCAGTTTCCATCGCGCTCGGCTAGTGCGAACGTGGGTGGTTCCTCTGCACTGACGAGTAGCAGCTCTGCGTCGTTGAGCAGCCTACCCACCGCCATACCGAGGGACTGTGTGCGCCGACGATGTCTTCCAGCCTGCGGAACCTCAACTCCTCACCTTCGTGGTAGGCGTCCACGAACTCAGTGATGTCACTTGGAGGTAAGGCGAACTCGATCAGGGGTGATGGAGTTCCTTCTTCCGCCGGAGTGCCCTCGTGATAGCACTGAAGTGTTTCTAAGATCGCTTCGATCGCTCGTCATAACTCCTGCAGTGTTTGGCCATACTGTAGGAGTGCCCAGCCTCAGTCTTGGAGTGGTCGAAACCACAGTAAGACGTCTTGGCTCCGCCACGGGAGTGCTCGGTACCCGTCCTGAAGTGGTCGCCGCCACTGTAGAACCGCCTGGCTCCACTCATGGCGTGCTCGGAATTCCTCCAGAAGTGCTCGACACTCCTCTCGGAGTGCTCGGCATCCCTCCTGAAGTGCTCGCGCAGATCGCCTGTAAGCTTTCGACTCTACCGCCGGAGTGCTCGGCGCTCCTCCCGAGTGCGTGGCACTGTTCCAGAAGCGTCTCCACCGCCGTGGATGACCAAGTGCTCGACGACGAAGGTGTTGGTGAAGCCTCCGCTTCCCCGTGCTCGGACTCGTGCTAGTCCTAAGCTGCCTCCTCGTTGAACACAACGTCGCATGAGACGATCACCTTGTCTCCCGCAGAGGTCATAGAGCCGGTGACGCCTTGGTACCCTCCGCGTAGCCCAGGAACACCATGGGTGTGCTCCTGTCCTCCAGCTTGGTACGAGAGCAAGCCGAACGTGTCATTCCTCCGGACATTCGGTTGCATCGGCCACGTCAGGAAGACGAAGCCTTGTTGGCCCACAGTTAGCCTCCCGACCACCGAGATGATCTCCAGACCACTCCGTTGGTCTCACAGATCACCGGCTCACGACGGTGAACCACTCCGGCCGATCTTGCCGACCACCGGCTCAAAGTAGTGGAGCACTTGTCGGTCTTGCCGAGCAGCACGCTAGTGTTGCCGAGCACCCACTAGCCGTGCGGACCACGCATCCGGCGTTGTCCGTACTCCACACACACACGGATCGAGCTAGAAGAGGAAGGAGAACAGAGCAAGCACGCACAATACAAGGCAGCGGCGTTGGCGAAGCCCCCGTCGTGTGATGGCAAATCTGAGCTCTCTTTATTGAGTTGCCATACATGTCTATTTATACAACTCTAACTATCTAGTCCATGTGCGGCGCCCATGCGGGCACAAGAACTAGATAACCGACGAGTGGTCGACTGCTACGGCCACACGCCTTGTTCCTCTGATAAAGGTCAGTAGGTGAGCCGTCGGCGCGTCTGCACCTACAGCGGCTACTGTATCACAGTAGGGGGCAAAGTCGGCGCCGCCTTCCCTTGCTGTGTTCACACACAGCAGGCAGTTAAGTCGGCGCCACCTTCTTCTGCTGTGTTCACACAAGGTGGCAGTAGATTAGCTAAGAGGCATCAGCTGCATCCTGGTTCCTGTGATTTGTGCATGCTGTGCTGTCGCCTATGGGTCGGTCGTTCATTTGATGCTATCAGAGCGTATATGCTATCCCAAACAATGTCATCTAGCAGTAAGTAGATGTTAGTTGAAACATCACTAAATCCAGCCACTCGATCTGTATGGAAAAACAATCCTCGATCTTCTTGACGTCATGTGTCATCCGAAGCAAGACAGCTTACCTGTTGCAGATTGAGAAGATAACCATTCCCCTTGTGTTGATGGAAACGTCTTATGCTGCCTAAATAACGTCTAAAGATACGTTCTCGTCGACGTCAAGAATCAAGACTGCAGTACACAAGTTGTAAAAAAAAATAGGGTAGGCTATACGGAACGTTCCTATTAGCACTCAGTTCACTGCTGGCAGGCAAATTGTGGAAGTTGTGGAGTATATACCGCCAGAAGTGGTAAAGTGGTAAAGTGTTAAGTGTTCTCGTAGGGTTGGACATTGCAGTTGGCTATGTCTTCCACAAGCATTCCAAACCCATAAGAAATGAAGAGAGAGAGCTTAAGAGAGAAATTTTAGGATGGTTGGAAAAAATAAAAACCATCCATCGCAATGAATCAAGTGGTGTAAAAATAAGTGGTACCAATGCGAAAGTACTGAGAAGTATAAAAAAAAAGTAGGGATAATACTAAAATTAGGCCTTTGTTTAGATGTACGTGTATTCACTTTAATGTATATGTGTTGAAGTGGATTGGAGTGGAAAATACATTTGTATCCAAACAAGGTCTTTGGTGGGAGTAGTACTAAAATAGGTGGGCCAAATCTGAATTTTTATTATTTTTTTTAAGTAAGGA